CAGGTTTGTAGCCTAATGTCAGAAAGGACATTTCATCATTTTTGCCACATTCTATTAGAAGCCAGTCATTAGGACCAGCTCATATTCAATGGGAAGGGCTTATACAGAGTGTGACTATCTGGAGGTGGGGATCACTGGGGTCCTGTTAGAAACTGCCTGATCCACAAGTTATGCTTAATTCTGGTTGGATCTTATTAGGTTGCTTTCTTCTTTCATATCTGGGATGAGGTGCGGAGGAAGTAGGCTGAGAATGAATGTCTATGATGGAAGAAAGGTTTGCATGGAGAAAGGCAATGGAAGTAAATTGTATTTATTATTTAACCTTTGATGCCTGGGGCCTTTATTAGTGAAAAAAACCTAGAAACACTTTGAGGTGGGACACTAGCAATTTAAGCTTATAGGTCCAAATATGACTCCATGAATGAGTCACCAGAAATAGTGTTTAAGAGAAATGAAGCATTTCAAATGTGGAGGATGGCCACTGCCTTATTTGCTTAGGGCAATATGAGTTGCTTATTCATATTTGAACCCTCAAACTGTTGTTGATTGCAATGTTTTGTGATTGATAGGATGAATATTTAGTCTTTGTATTCAAGAGCACCTCCCTTTACCACAATTCTCTGTATGACTGTGGTGAATACCTTAGTGATATTCTCAATCGCTGACCAAAGTGATATGGAAAAATAAGCAAATGTTCCTCCTCGTTTTATATACCTGAATTGTTAATCCAGCTTTTCAACAGAACAGTTTTCCATTTCATAGTCATAAAAATTACACTGAAAAAAAATTGACTAAAGCTGATAGGCTGAGTAAACAAAATTGCTTCTTAATAAAAAATGTTTTAAACTAATGTATTTGATTTGTCACTGCCTCCCCCTCCAGTCTGCCTATTTGATGAACAAGTAGCTTCAAATCTGTTTCCTTAAATACATGAATGGAAAAAGTGAGAGGGTGACTACAGATTTAGATCATGTCAGGCTGGATTTATAATTAATTCCACCATGATGTATATAAAACGAGGCAGTTAAGAATAAAGCTGTTGTAAAAATCCGCATGTAGGTTTTTGTGTGGATATGTTTTCAACTTTTTTTTGGGTAGAACCTAGGAGTGTAATTATTGGGTTGCGTGGTAAGAGGATGTTTAGTTTTATAAGAAACCACCAAACTATCTTTCAAAGTGACTGTATCATTTTGCATTCCCACCAGCAATATCTGAGAGTTCCTGTTCTTCCCCATCCTTGCCAGCATTAGGTATTGTCAGCATACCAGATTTTGGCCATTCTAATAGTGTGTAGTGTTATCTTGTTGTTTTAATTTGAATTTCCTTGATGACTGCTGTGTGGAACATCTTTTCATGTGCTTATTTGCCATCTGTGTATCTTCTTTGGTTAGGTGTCTGTTAAGGTCTTTGGTCTAATTTGTAATTAGGTTGTTTGTTTTCTTGTTGAGTTTTAAGAGTTCTTTGTATATTTTGGATGACTGTCTTTTATTAGATGTGGTTTTTGAAAATATTTTCTACCAATCTGTGGCTTGTCTTCTAATTCACTTGACATTGTCTTTCACAGAGCAGAAGTTTTTAGTTTTAATGAAGTCTAGCTTATCAAGTATTTCTTTCATGGATTGTGCCTTTGGCATTGTATTTAAAAAGTCATTCCCATTCCCAAGGTCAAGTATGCTATGTTATCTTCTAGGAATTTTATAGTATTGCATTTTACATTTACGTCTATGATCTCTTTTGAGTCAGTTTTTGTGAAAGATGTAAGGCTTGTGTCTAGATTTATCTTCTTTTTTTTTTTTGCATTTGGATATCCTGTTGTTCTAGAACCATTTGTTGAAGAGGTTATCTTTGCTCTATTGCCATTATTTATTCTAATTTAAAAAAAGATTTAATGTTTGGTCTTTGAAATATAGTAGTGGGTAGAGTGACATAGCTGGTATAAGACATAGCTGGCTTTGATGTTTTTTATTAGGCTTTGAGATGCCTTTGAACAGAGAATTTCATTGTGTCACAAGAATTATTATGATAAATGGTATTTTTTATTCTTATTTTTGTGTAATTTTGATGGATCATAATTTCTTCATAAAAACTTAAGTATCTTTCTCAACATTCTATAACTTATCTTAGATGAAAAGTGCAATAACAGACTGTTACCTTTCAATTTTGCCTTCATGGTCCCATAAATCCCTCTTCTCCTTACCCATTGAACCAGAGAACTCTGCTCTGCTTGAAATCTGTTCTCCTCCTCAACTGGCCCTAGGTACTTCAGGACCTCTTCCCTCTCCACAGATTGAATATACTTCTTTTACTGCTAAACTCCTATTTTCAGGGTGACAGTACATTCACCTGGTAAATTCTATCCTACATAAGAAGGCTAAAGCAGATCCTTGGGCCTTCCCACTCCTGTAATAAAGACCTCAAGGGGGCCTTTTTGAGAGTTATTCCCTGCCCTTATAGACTTAGTCAAAACTATGATGCTGAAAGTAGAAATTACAAGCCAGGGATGAGGGGAAAAAATGGGCCTTTAGCAGGTCTGGGAGATAAAGTTTTTGAAAAATAGGGTTTTGCAATATGCTGGAAATCAAAATGTGAGACAGCTACTTTTCCACAACATATACGGCCAGCTATGATTTTGTTCTTAATTTTGTTTTTTTTTTCTTTGTGCTCTGGGGAATGAGCAGGTCTCTTAGGGGGGAAGGCACAAACAGAGCGTTCCTGATGACAGGGAATGGAACAGAGATTGACATATAGAACTCATGTATGTTGCTGGGTCATTCTACTGGTTCTTGACATCTTAGAAAAGGTAACACAAATAGGAAAGTCAGAATGAAAATAGTAATTTGAAGAACTTGTGAGATAATCTTGCGAAAGAAATCCAGATTTTAAAATTTCCATTTGTTCAAATAAAACCTTGTTGCATTCTCCCAGGAGAGGGAAGTGGACAGAAAGTCAACATCAGTTGTTCTAATAACCCAGGTTTATGGTAAGTGAATTTCGAGACTGGCTACAGTGGGGGTGTTTTATGCCAGGTCAGCTCTTGGTTTTCATAGTAAGGTGATAAGACTGCTGACATCAAGGAGCCAATATTGAGATCGTTACTGCTGATGAAGCATGTGCTCTGTCACTTCTCAGAGTGAGGCCTAGGGTTGTATAATCACAGCTACTTATGGAGTGGACTCAGGTCTAGCTGCCCATCTAGAAATTTTAGACAGCAAGCAGACTTTGGACCTGAGGTACTTTGATAAATTACTTAGATAATTATGAATTAACTTAGATAATTATACCACCTGCTCTTTACCCACGACAGAGATGAAGCTTAAAAATCCAGAACATTTGGACGTATTTAAAGAATAATGTTCTTTGGCTAGTAACATTTGATTCATTTGAGTATTTTCTTTCTATTTAGGACATGTTAGGATACTGGTTTTTATGAAGCAGTCTTGTCCTTTATTTTTTTCTTTAGATTATGATTTACCTTATTGATAAGGTACTTCCTGAAAGCTATTTTGTTAATAATCTCCGGGCATTGTCTGTGGATATGGCTGTCTTTAGAGACCTCTTGAGACTGAAGCTCCCTGAATTATCTCAGCACCTGGATACTCTTCAGAGAACTGCAAACAAGGAGAGTGGAGGTAGTGATGATTTAATGCTGTTATTCCTTTGAAAATATTTTACTTCTCTGATTCCACTGTACAAATGAGCTTAAATGTTGAATGGAAATACATATTTTCAGGTATTTCTGTTGGTGAGAGTTTGATACAATGAACTAGATTTCTAGAGGACAAAAACAAAACTAAAAAAATGGCCACATGTTGAACCTCTAACTGGTGGTCATGGTTAGGAAGTCAGTCAAGAACGTAATACTTCACCAGTACCAGATCAGTAACTAAAATGATACAGTGTTCTCTAGATTAAGAATGGAATACATGTCTTGCCATCTAGTTAAACTCTCTAAGCTGGCACCAAACCTGTAGGCCTTCTTTAAAACTGAGCTACAGGTGTAATTTAGCATAAACTGTGGTTTTTCCTGAACTGTTGAGCTTATGAGAGAGTGGAATATTTGTTTTCATAAAGCTATAGGAAACAAAAGCAATTTTTTGTCCCAAATGTTTAATGTCTCTTTTATTTATTCATGCTAAGGATATATAGATTTACTTGAGATGAATCAGCCAGTTCTTGCTGGAGAAGGCTCTTCTGGACGTCCAGGTAGAATCTGAACCCTGAAGGAAGGCACTGGCTTGAGCAGAGTGGCGATGGAGATAGCTCTGCCAACAGCTCTAAGAGTTCCACTACCTAGCAGGCACCATCCAGTTTTCCCAACTACCTGAGCCAGTGTTATAATTATACCCAGTGCTTTCGCTTCCTTGGCTGTGCAGGATACCAGAAGGAAGACTCATAAGTTTATTGTGTTTCCTGTAAATGCTTTCCAGTTACTGACCCACACATTTAAATCTGGGAAAATATTAAAGGATTTTGAGGACCTCATCTATGACTAAAACACACTGGAAATTTTAGTGAATACCCGGGTCGTTTGAATCATCTCATTTAATTTGCCTGTGTAGGATAATATGCACTTGTGTGGATTTCATAAAGCTTCCAGATAGACCAACCTTCCTGTCCCACAGTCAGACTGCTTTACTGGCTCCATGTTTTCCCCCAAATGCCTTGAATTTGCTTATAAGGGGCAACTTCAGATTCTAGCCTGTGAACAAAGATCCTCCCTTTGTTCATAGGTAAGAAGGAAGAAAATAAGTGCAGGAGAGCAGATCTCTTTTTGCTTTTCCTTGGGTAAATGCACATTCTGACTGTAATTTGGAGGGAGGATCATTTCAAATAGCTAAATTTTATATTTCGTTAAAATATGTACTTATGCTATCACAGGAATAAGAAGGAACTATGTTTTTTAGTGAATTCAGAGACTTCAAAGTGAGCTAGATCCCAGATTTTCAAAACTGTCTATAGTTTAGTCCAAAATATTTTAAAATTTCATGTTGTTTAATCTCTAAATATTTTGGGCTTTCTCCGCTATCTTTCTGTCATCGATTTCTGGTTTAATTCCATTGTGATCTGAGAGCTATGTATAATTTAAGAAGTAGAGAAGTAATTCCTAATGAGCAATTTTATTTTTGTCAGCAGCATTTGAATAAAAGTGGACTTAGTAAGATTTTGAAAGTTGGCTTTTGCTTTTGAGAGACTAAAATCCTTTCTTTTTATCCTGTTTTGGTGAGGGAAATATTCTTTTTAATTTTCAGCACCCCACAATAGGTAGAACTAAATTAAGTTTTAGGTTAAGATTTTTGAATCATAAAGAATTCGTGAAGTTCATATTATTGAGATTTTTATTAAACACGCCTATCTATGTTCTAGAAAAAGGAAGGGAAAAAAGAGGAAAGCCAGAATTTAGGAATATAAACATATCAATCAGGAAATGTAACCTATTTGGGTGGACACGGAAGACTGAAAAGAGAGAATTTTTATGTGTTGTAAATGATCAATTCTGAAAAAGTGTAGTGTTTGTTTTATTTCAGGTGGATATGAGCCCCCACTTACGAATGTCTTCACGATGCAATGGTTTCTGACTCTCTTCGCTACGTGCCTCCCTAACCATACCGTTTTAAAGATTTGGGATTCAGTCTTCTTTGAAGGTTCAGAAATCATCCTAAGGGTGTCACTGGCTATCTGGGCAAAATTAGGAGAGTAAGTGATTTTCCCATTCTGTTCTGTTCTGTGGTGTTGGGGGCCTTAGGCAATTTTTGAACTCTAACATGTACAGCATCAATATGTAAGTGTGAGGAAAAGAGAAAATTGACCTGTATGCAGTTGCTTTAGCTTTCTGAAATCTCATCTGGCTCATTCCTGATTGTTGGAGGCAGATGGATTCTATTTTAGAGGAGGGGCAGGCTTTTTCAGGCCTGTAATTCTCTTCCTCCTCCTCAGTGCTAATGTCCTGGCTGATTTATTCTTTGTCAGCATCTCTCTGGACACTAGCTGGGGAGAGGGAGAGGTAGAGGAACTTAGATGGTTGAGGAGCTAGAAGATCTGGAAATGAGTAGGTGGATTTTGTTAGTTAATATTACAGTTCGGATTATGTTTGTTCTGCCTTTCAGGGCTGAAAATAAAATGAGATAATATGTATAAGGTGTCAAGCATGGTGCTTGGTACATAGTCAGTAGAACATATGGAACATATTTCCTTTCATCAAGAATTAATTCTGTGTGGAAATCTATTACTATCAAACACATTACCAAATAGATTTTACTTAAATTCTTTATTAGTAACAGGGCTGAATAAACTAGGGTATTTTCACTCATCACAAACATGTTATGACTGTTACATTAAAATTCTACCTTTTAGGTAATGGAAGAAATATTAGGATAAAATTGTCATAGTTAACTTAAGATATAGAGAAGTTTTTAGTGTTTCTTTTCTAGAGCTGTAAATGACTTGAGTGCATACTCGTAATAGACATGTTAGAAAACTAATAAATCACTGCCAGTGTTTTGTTTCAAAAGCCTTTTAACTAATCTTTTTATTTGTGATAAGTTGTTTCCTGGGAGACTTGCAGCATGTTTTACTTTTTGCAAGAAAGATCCACCAACTATCAATTCAGGGGTTTAAAAAAATCACTATTGTGTATAAGTATTTTTAAAGATCACATAGCTCCTGTGCCTTTGTTTTATTGTACATTGCTTTGTAGTAAGGTAAATAAATTCATCTGTGGGGGATTTTGTGTGCTATTTACATATCTTTTTCATTTTCTCTCAATATATACCTCTTTCTGCAGTCATATATTTCCAACCTACTCTACGTAAGCTCTTTGAGCTTTGGTAGTTTCTCTGGGTGTGATAGTCCAGTTACTGAGTAACCTGCTTATAGGATTAAAATAGTAAAACACTTTACTATATGCTGACTCAGTTATAGCCACCTTTGGGTTAGTTTTTAATTATGTGGTGGAAGGAAAAGAGGAGATTCTGGTTTTATTCACATCTATCCATTATTCGTAGGATTAGAATTTATTGGTATGGTCATCTCAGAGATGTCATACTGTTGAAATAATAATAGCTACACTTAAAACCCAATTTTCTTTGAGTGCTTGGAATGGACAAGCTCTAAGCCCTTTAGATATAAAATTAACTCATTTACTATTCACCATCATCCCATGAGTTAGGTCCTATTATCATCCCCATTTTACATGCGTGGGAACTGAGGTACAGAAATGTTAAGTAAATTGCTCAAAGTTTCCCAATTAATAAGTGGAAGGGTCTGAATTTGAACCCAGCTATCCTGGCTCTAAAATCTGTGCTTTTAATAATGTGAATCTTCTCATAAGAAATGGGTGCTGTTTATGTAATTCAAGGGATATATGAATCAGACTGGTAGAATTTTAAGTATTTCAGAGTGTTTGGTTGTTATAATTCTACATGTTTTGAGTATGTGACTTGTTAAGCGAAAGAGAAGGCAGCCAACACACACCATCAGGTGCCTACAATGCTGTCATTATGTTAGGTAGTCTAAGCACATGATCTCATTTGATTCTCCTTATAACCCTGTAAAGTAGATGGGGTTATTTTCCATGTCTTCCCAAGTGAGAAAACTACCCTAGAAAGGTTAATTAACTAGTTCAAGTTCACACAGCTCATGAGTAGCAGAGCTGGGACTTAATCCTGGATCTTTCTGACTCCAGTGCCTATGATCATTCCCACAAACTTTCCACTGGAAAAATCATAAACAGCATATAAGTAATCTTCAGTTTATGTATACCTGAGTAACATATGTACCATCTATATGGTTATTCATGGGACCTCTTCTTTCACCTTACTTCTGCAACTTGAAATTTCTTCATCTTATTCACACCAAGGATACTTTTGGACTGTGTAGGATGTAGACCATTGGCTCCCTTTTACTGGCATCTCTTTTGCGTGTCCTTTCTCCTCTGACCCTACTGTTTTGGCTCGCTCTCTCATTACCTCATGCCTGGCTTGTCTTGGTGTATCTTCCCTGGTGTCCCCATCATACCCATACTTGCCACGTTGCCTCCAGGCCGACCTTGCCAAGGGCAAATCTGTTCCCATATTTCCTATTAAGAGCCTTGCCTATTAAGATTCTTGCTCTGAAGGGGCTCAGCAGGCAGGTGAGGCCTTTGCGACCTCTCTTTGCAGCTTTCTACCCTGCACTCTCAGGGGCTCCCTCTGGCCATGCAGCCACCACCACTCTGGTCAGATGAAGATGCTTACAGATCTCTGGGTAGGTCCTGCTCTCTCCTGCATTTGTGTCTTTGGAATGCTTTTTCTTCCTTGTCAACCTGGAGAATATTTTTCAAAACTCGTCTTCAGTGTTATTTCTCTTCCTCATCCCCCAGGGTAAACTTAACCACTTTTTCATTTATGCCCACATGCTACTCTGTATTTTCCTAATAACGCTTCAACAATTAATTTAATTAATTTATTTACATGATTGTGGCAATGAGATTTAAACAGCACTCCAGAGCCTGAAGCTTTTCTATCATATTTTTTTGGATGACTCTATGGAAATCCCCCAACATTAGCATATGTCAAAGTGTGGTTGGTGGGCAAATACACAAAGGACGTCATAGTAGATAAAATAAATACACAGTGCTCTTTGCTTTGGACTACTGCCCCCCCTACTCCCCCCCAAAAAAGATTAAAGTCTACCTTGCCTCACAGGTTGCCAGGTAACAGATTCTTTATTTACATGTAGAACCAAATGCAAGGAGCAGGGTATAATCTCCAACTAGCAGCAGTGCCCTGAGAAGAACTGAAAAAATTCTGCCTGTAAAAACATTCTGTGGACTGATAAAAGATGCAGATAAAGTTCTCGTATTTCTCATCTTTTCCTTCTCCTGTGGTTTGGTTTCAGTCATCAATGATACCACAGTTTGTAGATTAGGAGCAAAAGATTTCTTACTGGGGATATTTGTTCTTCATAACCAATTTCATTGTTATGATTTCTGATCAGTGGCTGATATGCTGATGTGTAAATGTGTCACATGGAAGCAATAAAGGTGCCACTGGTGGGGCTGTGAGGCTGGGGAGCAGTGTAGGAAAAACGGAAACTCATTGTGTAATAAGTAGCTCTAAGTTGCCTTTGGTATTTTTTATCTTTTTTCTACATACAGCGGTCTGTACTGTGAGTGTGTCCCAGGATTTTGATTTTTGTTGATTGCTAACTTGATTGATATAATGCAAGAGGCAACATATCCTATTGTACTGCAGCACATACCCAATAGATAGCATGGGTGTCCAAAACAATTCCTTGTTCTGTCCTTTCTTCATCTAGGCAGATAGAATGTTGCGAAACAGCAGATGAATTCTATAGCACCATGGGGCGCCTTACCCAGGAGATGCTGGAGAATGATCTTCTGGAAAGCCATGAACTCATGCAGGTGAGTGGACAGCTCGTCCTGCCTTGGCTTGGAATTCTGAGTACCGTGGGAACAAGTAGTGCCAGAGCAGTGGTTTTGGGAAATGTATTTAGCCAGCCCTCAGATTGAGTTTTTCAGTTGACCAAGAGCCTATATATAATTTGATAAGAATTTTAACTATGTCACAAGAGGAAGGAAGAAATGAATAATGGATATTTGTTGTGGCTTTCATTCAAATTGCATTGCTTAAAAATCTGGAGGTGCAATACAAAAATAAATTTTAAAAAAATGACAAAAAACCCCACAAAAACCCAAACCACCAGATGCTTATTCTGAATCTGATTCTTAGCCTTCTTAAGGGAAGACTTATAGGGTGAAATAATTATTTCATGAGAGGAATTATTGAAGATAAAAAGATTATTCAAGTCAGCATTTTGGTTTGTTTTGCTCACATTTTCAATTCATGTTATATATGAATCATAAATTTCAATATGAAAAACTTGAAAGATTTTGCTATTTTTTGGTATGTTACTCTATCTCGATATTCACCAAGTCACTGAAATCAACAGAGTATAGAAAAGAGCAGATTTGTTAGCAATCTCTCTTCCATTAGGTCCTATAACATAATTATCCTCATTCTCCTCCAAGGCTTCTGACCTCTTCTTCTCTTCCTGGTTCTTCCTCTTCTTGCCCACTGACCAACTGTGGCTCTTTCCAAGGCTGTCCTTGGGCCTTAGTTCCCTCCTTCTCTGTCATTTCTGTCTTTTCTTGGTTTCAAAATTTACTTTTATGATGGGGTTCATGCTTGAGGTCATTTTTGGGTGCTGGGGCTCACGCAGCAGGATACAAAACAAACACCCAGGCCCTGATTTAGGACTTAAGAAGTGTGGAACTTCCATTCCTTTGTTCATTTCCTTGCATCCACAGCTCCTTCTCGGAATCCTTTACATTTAGCAGTTACTCAATTTATTGAGAATATTGATCACTCGATACAATTTTTCTGAACATTCGTTTTTTTATTTAAACTTTTCTTCGCATTTCATCTCTTCTTTATTCTTTCTTGTCTTAGAGAGGGAAGTATTCTATCTGACCCTGACATCTGTGCTTGATTTTGACTCTTCTCACTTTGTCATTGCTTCATTACTCATTCTCTCTTGGAGGGAAGTACCTTTTATTGAGCATTGCTCTGTATGCCAGGTCTCTGCTTGGCATTTTCCATATATGAGATCCTTTACATCCTACAGAACTGCCCGATTCATATTCCCAAAGCAGGACTGAGATATCATCCCTTCTCCCTCACTCATGAAACTTCAGAGGCTACTCACTGCCTACAAAACAAAGCATGGATTTCTCAGCTTACCATTTAATGCTCTTAACTATCTGTGTTAACTAATTAACTTATCTTTTCAGCCAGAAGTTTCCATTCCTCTGTTTTGTACCCTTGACTTATTCTAATCGAGCCAATCTATCTTCCTTGTTCCCAGAAATGCCTGGGGATATGCTTCCTCTTTACCTTTGCTCTATCTGCTTGATCTTTCTCTTTTACCTTCATATGTTTAAGGCCTTCTTCCCTGAGAAAGTTCGGTTCAGATGCCATCTACTTTATGAAACGTTCTCTGATAGTCTCAACTAAAATAATCTCCTATTTCTTTGAGTCACCACAACATTTTCTCTGTACCTCTCTTGTAAACATTCATCTCTCCTTTGATTTGAGACTATATCTCTCTTTTTCTTCTTTGAGACTGTATTTTATTTCCTTAGTGGTATTTTAAGTTCCTTGAGGACAAGGACTATGATTTGCTTGTAACATGTAGCGCTTTGCCTTTTACTAGAGGTGCTCAATACATTTATTCATTGAGCAAACATCTTGAGAGTCTGTGATTAATTTTCTGTCTTCTCTTTTTCAATAAATGTTTGCTGAATTAACCAACATTTGTAGGTGATGGCCTTCCTTCCAGATTCCTTCTGATTCCTTTTGACTGCGTATAAAAAACAATCAACATTTTGCTGCCAAAAATAGTCTACACTAAGTAATAGTCTACACTTATGACACATTTGGCCATGTCATTATTCTTCAAAAAATCTTCAGTGCTTCCTTGTTATTAACTATATTAAGTAAAATGCTTCAGTCTAGTTTCCTAGGCCCTATATTAACTTCTGCAAATATTTATTGAACTACTCTATGTGTCAAAAGGCTTCCTTAAGGGAATTAATGTCTGATTTTACCTTTGAATACAAATAGCAGTTGGTCAGGCTCTGTGTGTGTATGTGTGTATGCGTGTGTACATATACATAGGTGAATGCACGTGCCGGGGCGTGTGTGCATATGTGTTGGTGGCAGTGGTACAGAGCAGAGAGGCAGTTCTTGGTTGAGAGGCAGCGTGAGCAAAGGCATGGTAGTGGCAACCTTTATGGTGTGTGAAGAAAACTATAAGGAGTTTGATATGCAGGGTTGGGTTGTGGAGGACCATAACCTATGGCAAGGAGCTTGGACCCGATCTCTTAGGTCAGTGGTTGTGTAATATGCTTGCAGGAGTTGTAGGGCTTCTGCGGAGCCTTTGGAAGGGTAGAAGAGCTGTGGACCTGAAAGCTTTTAAAGAGAGGAGGTAAATGGTCTGAGTTTTTTTTTTATGTCAACTACATGGGCAGTTCTGTGAAAGGTGAACTTGAAGAGGTCAAGTCTGATAGCAGCAGGCCTGTGAGGAGGGAGTGAAAGGTAGAAACAAAATTGGAACAGAGGCAATACTTAGAAGGTGAACTTGATAGGACTCTGGCATGGAAAATGGATGTGGCGTGAGGGAGAAAGAAATGGAGAAAACAAGGGCAATTTTTATGTTTGTGGCTTAGGTATAAGAGGGTAAGTTTATGGGGAAGGTAAGTTCGTTTTCAGAGGGATTGTGTTGCAGGTGTGCTTTGGCCGCCCTATTCCTTACCTGTCCAGAGATATTTCTCACTACTTCACAATCAGAACCTACTGCACTGTCATAGCTCTGTTCCCACTCTTAGGCCTTGCACATTCCTGTGAGAAGGCTTGTAGCTCCTTCTGACACTTACTCTGTCTGTGAAAACCCTACCCAGCCGCCTGTATCCTACTCAATCTCTTTTCTCCCCCCGTCCCCACAGAGCCTCTGTTACCTCGCTTCTCATTGATGAGACCTCCTCTGGTACTCCTCGGTACTTAGAGTTTTCAACAGTTGATTTGATGCTACTACTTACAGATTATTTTATATTGTTTGGTATTTCTCAAATATGTTAATCTTATTTTTCTACTGAAGTATCTATCAAGTTCCTCAATAGGGGCTTCATTATTCTGTATCTCCATAACACCAGTGTAGTGCTAGGAATGCACCTGGTCACTCAACGAATGCACAGAATTATAGTACATTAGAACTTGAGGCAATAGTGTTCAAACTCGACTTTGTATAAGAAACATCTCAGGAGTGCATTAAAATGCAAGTGTTTGGTTCATGGGTGGTTCCGATGCAGATGGCTTTTTAACAACACTTAAGAGAAACTCTGGCTTAAAAGAAGCTTAAAGATCAACTAACCTAATGCTGTTACTTTACAGAGAGGAAACTAAGACTTTGAGAGTGAGCATCTTGCCAATTTCTTAGGTTGCCTAGTGGCAGACACAGGACTGGAACTCAAGTCCCCAACTCCTCAGCTAGTGATTTTTCCCCACCACCCAACACACTGCTTCCACCTTGTTCAAAACATGTCTGTCTAAAAGCTGAAATCCTCTTTAGAAGAATAAGGCAACATTTTATTTCACTTCAAGTTCAAACATTGCCAGAACAAATGAGAGCTGTGTTAAGATATAACCGCCGTCTTTGTCTGCTAGGAATTTCCAACCTTAGGGATTAGGAGAAAAGAGAACCACCTCATTACCTTACTTTAAGAGAATCCTGAGGGAGAAAGCATAGGCTGTGGCTTGACTGATTAGATTCCATTTTAGTAGTGCATCTCCTGCCAAAGAAAACATCTGGGTGAAGATAAACTGAGCCTAATTTTATACAACTTATGTTTTCATGTTTCTTGTAAAAGCATGTCAATAATGAAAAAAAATATATAATTCCTTTTCAGCAGTACCTAAATATAAATGTCTATGTAAGTGTGTTGGTAGTTTGGATAGTAAATAGACTTGTTGGTTTTCCTTGGCATCATAGAGTATTAAGGAGAGAAATGCTGAATGTCATTTCAAGCCACTCTCCTTTCTGTATTCACTCAAAAAAAATTATTGTAATGGCTGTGATCCAGTTATGGTGGACCTTAAATCTGTCAGCAAATCTGAAATGGCTCCAGATGAAAAATGTGGACTGCATGTAAAGTTTTTTATTTTTGAGCTGAAGAGATGAAAAGATTCTCCCTGTTTGGTCTTCCCCATTTCTTTCCGGTTCTAAGTGCCAGGCACAAAATAATCTATTTTTCACCCCTGCAAATCAGATCTTTTTTTTTTTTCCTTTTTAATTAACAATGGCTATTTAAAAACACTGATAGTGTTAGAAAAAGAAATTTGGGGAATGCCAATAATATAGTGTACATGGATTTCAGCATGACTTTTGACAAAGTCTCTCATGAATTCTTTGAGGGCAATGTAAGAAAAGTTAGATGCATTTATTAGAAGAGTTCATAGGTGCTTGGAAAAACCGAACCCAAAGTGCTTGTCAATAATTTACTGTTTCCTAGGGGAGCTCTCAGGTGCCACAAGGCAGGATCTACACTTGGACTGTTCACTATTTTCCATCAGTGATGGGGTGGAAATTATAAGGATGTGGATGCTTGTTCAGTAGAAGGATAATGTTTGATTAATTAGTGCTGTCAAAAATTGAAACCGTCTGCCCTGCAAAGTAGTGCGTGCTGGAAGTGTTTAGGCAGTGCTTTTATGACCATCTGTTGGAGGTGCTTTAGAGGGAACTCCTGCCTGGGAGGGAGGTTGAACTAAATTATGTTTAAATTCTTTCCTTATCCTAAGATTCTATTAGTGTACTATGTTTTGGCTCTAAGATGATGAGTAAAATTACTTTCCTGGAATCGTTTGCAAGTCGCTGACTTACAAAGTTGGAAACTGGAGCTTTTTAGGTACCCTGAGCACTGTGGTGGTATGCCAGGGAGACATAGTCATGGGATAAACATGCATTCAGATATGTGAGACCTTCAGATTAGCGAGTGACTATATGCGAAAGTACTATAGACGTTTGTTTCAGGCACACTTTGAAAGACTAACTAAAAGTAAATAATAGAGAAAAGAAGACCAGAAATAGAAAATGAAAGCTCAATGGAGACAATTTTCTTTTCAGTCAGATGCTTTTAGCTGAGTAGACCTTGAAGGAGCTTACTAGGAACCCAGGTCATCTGCCCTGAGGCAGGATGGGACGAAGTAGGGGCAGGATGTGCTTCCTATTCCTTTCTTATAAACTTCTTTCATGAAGTTGGACAAGGGAATTTACTGATAACTTTCTATAAAACTGGCAAAAATAAAACAGCTAGTTACTCGTTAATCGTCTTCAGTGAGACATCGTTCTTCCTTTGGAAGGGATTTTGAAATTTATAGCATTAATAATTTAATCTTTTGAGCTTGAATCCAATTGGCATGGTTTTCTTAAATATCTGAATCAATTTTCTAAATCGTTAAGGAAAAAAGGTGCTGTGAGTGAGGGGCAGGCTGACTCTTGACCCAGCAGTGGGACCACATTTGGTTTGTGATGGTCAGAGGCCGATACTGCTCCACGGAAGCACAAGCTGAGGTGTCGTGCTCCGGCCCTAAAACTGGGGTGCTGAGGAGAGGATTTCACATCTCTCCCTTCCCTCAAAAGGGTATATGGAGATATAACAGCAAGGAGGGAAGAATTCTGTGCTGGCAATAAGGCAGCTTCTTGAGTGATGAGCTGTTGGCAACCTTTGCAAGATCAAAGAATATGACAGTTAGTTCTGACATGTTATTAATGAACTTACATGAAGTATTTCAGGCAAACAGAATGTATTAAAATAATATAATGAAACTTACATACCCATCACACAGCTTGAGAAATAAAACATTAACGACACAGTTGAACACCCTCATATTCTTCTCTCTGATCTCACCACGTCCTCTCCTCTCCTCAGGTAATCACAGTCCTGAGATTCATACCCTTCATTTTTCAGGCGAGGAGAAGGAGGCCCAGAGAGATTGGGAACTGGCCAATCTCATACTCCAGACTAGTAGGAACCACAAAATGCCTTCTGCTTCTTTCCATGGGGGAACAGTTCATTGTTAGTACATTTGTACTGTTTCTCAGCCTTTTCAGTATAATCAACTATGTAGTATATGAGATAGGACAGTTTAGAGATGACTGTTATGGTCCCTATGAGCTGTATAGCTTTGCATAATAATCAATGGAGAATCGAAGGGAAGGGATGTTAACCAACACTTACTTGTTTGGAGCCTGGGGATTGTACAGTGATATATATATAAGTGGATACCATGAAGTTTGGGTATCCAGTCGGATGTACAGACTATTTAGGATAAAAATTGCAGTTGGCTATCTCAGTGGTGGCTCTGAGCTATAAAGTGAAACAGTAGCATAGTTAAGACTCTTTCAGAGCTCTCCTTTTCCTACCTGTGCAGTTATTAGATATCTCCTCTAAGCCTTCAGAAATAGTCCTGCAAGCTGAAATGAAAAATAACACTTTAAAATATTTTTCTAGAAAGTATCAGGGTATTTGAATAGCTTTCTGAGAGAAAGGAAAGTTAGTATGATTAACATACTTTTTTTTTTTTTTTTTGTGAATAAGAACCTAACCTTAAGGAGAAACAATGTAATTAAATTTTTGGAGCAATTAAGTTTTAATAAAATTAAGAGAGCAAATAAGATTACTTTCCTCCTGATGATAGAATGATATGTAATTTTGAAATTCTGAAAGAAGCACAGGTGCTTTTCTCAATTTTATTTATAGATTTTTAACAGCCTATGCTTTTACACGATTACTTTTTTTTCTTTAACAATAACAGCTAACAATTTTCACCTAGAATTCATTCACAGATATTTGAAAAGGTGATATCTTTGGAGAAGTGTGCAGTCGATCACATGACCATCCACTAGACTTAATTTTATCCAGCAGGCTGACATTAAATGTCTATAAAAATCATCAAATAAAGCTTCGAAAAACAAGCACTACATACGAAGAACACTGATGGGTTCTTTATTAAGAAAATAAGGGAGTGGTGGATTTCTGAATTAACCTATCCCTGAAACGAGCAGAAGGAAGTCACCAGTTGGAATACCCAGTTGCAGCTGGGTTGATTTGAGAGAGAGCTCACTGTTATGTTTATCAGCATTCTTTTGTCTTTCTCTGAAGCAGATATTGAAGTAGAATCTTTCCACCCGCTGTTTAAGAAGCAGTATTTACTTTTTCATGCTCAATTTATAATGCCTTTCCAGGACTGATAAAGAGTTATTTAAGGCCCCTATTTCAGGCTTGGCATTTTTGCTTTTGTTTTTCAGACTGTTTATTCTATGGCTCCATTCCCTTTCCCACAATTGGCAGAGTTGAGGGAAAAATACACGTATAACATCACACCATTCCCAGCAACAGTTAAACCCACCTCAATTTCTGGGTAAGGCCTTTTGTTTTAAATCTCGTTGTTTTCATGATAGAAGACTTAATACCTTAATTTGTTATTGTAATTTAATAGCTGTTAAACCCTAGGGACATATTCAAAGTAATTTGGTACTTAAAATCTGAATATTTCTTTCTCAAAGGTTTTGATTTAAATTCAAAAGAGAGGTTTTTAAAAGTGTACTTTCCAAGGAAGATTGGAACATAAACTGAAGGGCTATTTAGAAACCCCACAACTTAGTTAAAAATATCAAATATTAAAAATCTTAATAATTAAAATAGTGTAGAAATGGTGCATGAAGAGACAGATGAGCTAATTTAAACTACAGTAAAGATCAGAAATTGACAATTATATATACAGGAGTTTAGTATATGAAAACTTAGCACATCAAATCAATCGTAAAAAGTTATACTACTTAGTAAATGGTGCTGGGTTAATGAGACCTAATCTGGAAAGGAATAAAGTTAGAGTCATGCTTCACATCATACATCAGGATAAATTCCATATAGATGAAAGAGTTAAATGGAAAAAATGAAATACGATTAGCAGAATAAAATGTGGAAGAATGGCTTTACTTGTTTGGAATTGGGAAGGCCTCAGTAACGGACTCAAAATGAAAAAAAAAATAATAAAGGAAAAAAATAAGCACTTTAAAAATAATTTTCTACATGACTAAAAACAAAGCAGAACAGAATAGAACCTCCATAAGCAGATACAAAAATATTTGTGGAAAAATATTTGTAACTGATATCTCAATATAAAGTTCTTAGAAATTAATAAAAATTATCACCTAACTGAAAAGTTATAAAAGGATAGGAATAGGTAACTTACATAAAAGTCAGCATCACTTGTAGTAAGAGAAATTTAGCTTATAAATTTCTAGATTAAGAGCCTTTTTTTTTTTTTTAACCTATCAGATAAACAAAAATTCAGACGTTTGATGTGCACTCTCTTAATAAAGCTATATGGTAACATATACACATTGCTGTGAGAGGTTAATTGCTACAGGATTTGTGGCAAACAATTTGGCAGTATTTACCAAAATTACTAATGCATATATCCTTTGACCCAGCAATTCTACATTTATGAATTATCCCACAAATATATTTGTACACATGCAAAACACAGTATGTACAAGGTTATTTATTGCAACATTGCTTGTAATATAGTGTAATATTGCAAACCACTCAAGTATACATCATTAGTACCTGGTTCCATAACACGAGCTACATACATACAATACAGTACAAAAAGGATGAGGAAGCTCTTTGTATGAATATGGAGAGATTTCTTAGGTGAACGAAAGCAAGGTGCAGAAGAGTATGTATAGTATATTAATATTTATGCAAAAGAGGAGAAAAGTAAGACTGCATAGTCATATTTGCTTATCTTTGCATAAAGAAACTGAAGAACATGTAAGAAGCTAGTAACTAATTGGTCACCTCTGGGACTTAGGTGGGACAAGAACTGGGCAGAAGTTGGACCAGGATGGGAGAGAGACTTTCATTTAAACCATGTGACTGTATTACTTATTTTTAAAAAAATACCATTATTTTCTTTGAATATTTCTTTTTTTTCTTTTATGTTTTCCAAGGCGACATGGTAAGGTCAGAGATAGTGATGAAGAGAATGACCCAGACGATGAAGATGCTATTGCTAATGCAATAGGGTGTCTTGGACCTTTCAGTGGGCTCCTGGCACCTGAACTGCAGAAGTACCAAAAGCAAATGAAAGGTAAAAATGTGGCTCTTTATTCATCACAGTGTGTTGGTTCACTATACAGAGGTATTATTATGGTGTCTTATAAATGCCTATTGTTTCCTGATTATCACTATTAAAGATCCTTATTAAAAATTGTCTGTTACTTTACCACTTAGTAGAATCTCTCTGTGTTATGTACATAATACATGTTACATGCATGTTACATACATAATACATATCTTTTTTTTTTAAGATGATATTTGCCCCCTGCACCACCCCCATCTGATTCAACTTTGTGTGCTCGGTTCCTTAGCATAGAGCCTGGAATATAATAGATGCTTACTACATTCTATATGAGTTTAATTTAATTCATTCTAGATAGCTTCTCTTCTGCTATAGAAATACCCTCCGAGTTTAAAACATTGCAGTAGCCTCTAGTTGAATTTGAGTAAAAAGAAGCTCATTAAATCATGAGACATTCTTTCAGATTCTTCCACTTAGTCTGTGGTTTGTAGTTGCAAAGAGATAACATCATCCACCAGTTCTATTAAGAGGTTTTATTTATTTTTTATTTTTATTTTTTTAAACAAAACAGAGTGAGTTTACTTCCTCTTCTACTGGACTTTTCTTCAGATCTTTAAGGGCAGCCATCGTGTCCCCCAAAGCTTTCTCCAGGATCCAAGTTCAAAATTTCTTTAAGTATTCCTCATAAGATATGACTTTCAGAAATTTTAATATTTTATAAATTCACTTCTAAATGCCCTGCAGTTTGGTAGTGTTCCTCCTAAAATGGGATGCTCTGAGTTCAATGCCATGCTATATTTTTTTCTTGTGCAGAATGGACTTCCTGTGGTCTAGACATCGATAAGGAACTCTTTTGAAGTATTTATGGTTCTCTCACTGTTCTTTCCCATTTTGAGTGGTAGCTCTTCCTTTAGGGTATTTATTCTACTTCTAGTTTGAAGACCAATCTCCTTGCTAAAAGGGGACAAAAACAGAGTAGGTGTCAGGTACTTTTGCATTCTCTTTGTCATCTGCTAACTTTATACCACCTTCTCAAAGTCATGGGGGTATCTTCTCATCATTTTTGTTCTTCTTGCTTAGAAACCTTTTTTATTTTTATTTTTGTCTTTTTTTGGTAGTGGTGGTTTTGAGTATTTCCCCCAAGTCTTAGCACGTTTTGAGTTTAACCTGGTTAATGGTTTGGGTTCATGCTGTTTTATGTGTATGTCCTTGGTATGTACTCTCCTCTCATCTTTTAAAAAGATTTTTAACAGTGTGAACCCAACAAGAGCCCTATTCATTTTTTAATGCCTTCCGTCCTCTCTCATGTTGCCTGGATTTCAGCTTTTGGTTTCTAGCTACAGGATCAATATGTATTTTAACTCTAAAATTTTGAATTTACATTTCTGTAGTCTGAGTCTATGGTTTATTTTTTCCCCATTTTTCTTTCTGTGCAATGATGTGCTCCAAGATGACATGATCACTTTCTCCTAAGTCATCATTAGTCTTCTTGTTGGTTTTAATTAAGTTCAGATTAGCAGGTACCCTTTTAATTTTTTTCTCCTTACAGAAGTGTTTTCAATAAAAAAGGAAGTAAATTTATCAGATGTTTAGGCTTCATTTGAATAACACTTTCAGTAGATAGTGTTCAGCAGATAGACACTTTCAATCATTAATCGTTTTCTTTCAGCTGGTCCCCAGGTCAGTTTTACATATTGTGCCAGAGAAGCCTCTTTCTGTCTCCCTTTGCCTGTTCAGTCTGTGAGCATCCTCTCACACAGTACTGGTTTCTCTCCCTTACATGTAATCTCAATTTTATTTAAGGGACGAATCTGCTAGTTGTAGGTGCCACAGGAACAGAAACCACGTCAGACATAACACACATAATAGATGATCAAGAAATGACTGCTAATGAATAAAAAGCATTCATTTCTAGTGGTACAGTGATCTGAAGTTTTGATAATTTTATAGAATGTGTTGCTATTTTTAACTTAAAAACTTACTTTTAATGATTGATTAAACTGTACAAACTAGCATTTTCTTATAATTCCTCATGCAGTTATATGGAAATCTGTACAATGACTTTAGACATCTGGAGTTATATTTTTCTAAGGGAATTTTAGAAAATAAGTGATTTTTATCTGAAAACAATTGATCTTATGTCTGTCTATACAATGAACAGAGTGGTAATAAATCAAACAATGAGCCCACACAGCTCATTTCAGACCTATGTAGTTAGGCTAATAAGAAAATGTAGAAATATTTTCAGCACTAAATTAAAACAAGCACTAGACAAATTCTAGAGTACATTTTTTTTTGTGGTTTAGAATTTTTTGGAGGTTAAGATACTATACCAGGTTCTAGTATAATCTGTTCCTCTTTAATCCCATCTCCTCCACTGATACCATCTCCTTGTCTCTTCCCTTGAATACAGAACTAAATGAAGAGCAGAGTCTGAGATCTAATAACATTGCAGAGCTGAGTCCTGGAGCAATCAATTCCTGTCGAAGTGAATATCACGCAGCTTTTAACAGTATGATGATGGAACGCATGACCACAGATATCAATGCGCTGAAGCAGCAGTATTCTCGGATTAAAAAGAAGCAGCAGCAGCAGGTTCATCAAGTGTATATCAGAGCAGGTAATGTGATTCTTTGTTTGAATCAATTGTGAAAGGAAGACCAAATATTTCTAGGATGACCTCAGAATTACTACTCAGTCAGCATCCACAAACACAGCTGGCATGAGTTAATAGCATATTTAGCATCTTATTTTTATTTTATTTTACTTTATTATTAGATTCTAAAGAAAAAAAAGACCACGAGCTCTTTTTAGGTCCCAAAGACCAGGCAATTGATGGTATTAAACAAGTCTTTACAATGTGTGCTTGTGGAGGGGGATTTACAACTGACTAGAATGATGCAAAGCCAAGTAGTCCTTGGACTTGAGACATTTTGGAGCTATTGCCTCCTAAATTTCAGGCATTTGAAAATAGAATTTAGTGATCTGTGCACTAGTAAATTAAGCTATCCACTAGTCATTTAGGTAGTAATATAACAGATGTGATCCGAGGAAAAGGCAAAGGCCATTAGTACGCCTCACTGACAGGTTAGCAGTGTCTTGGGAGTCTGCTGGAAAAAACACAATTGAAAATGCTCTTTTCCAAAGATTGTCAAACTTCTTTTTTCTTTTTCTTTGTAATTGCAAGAATCCTTTATTATTTAATATACATTGATTTGGGAATTGGTTTGTCTTCTTTGAAGTAGAATCCTAATGAAAATGATGACTATCCAGAATTAACTGAAATATAAATCTGACATGTTTTTAAGAGGCTTGTGAACATGTGACTGATCTTGCACAAAACCTGAATTTACCTTCCACTTATCGGGGAGGAGTAGGCAACTTCTTAAAGATTCTTGCTTTATCCTGAATCATTAAGAAAGCAATCACAAAAGCAACTAACAAACTACCGCACTTTAATTTTCAAAGCATTGGCACATACATGTCCTAATTTTGTCTTTAAAACAAATCTATGAGGAAGGCAAGGGTGGGTATTCTTATATCCTTTTAAATGATAAGGCAGTGGTGATTCAGGAAGGCTCAACAATTGTCCAGGATTATATAGCTATAGTGAGTGGTCAGGCCAGGGCTAAAATCCTTGTGTTCAAATTCTTTGTATATTTCTTTTTCCACTGCACCATACAAACCTTTGGGATGGGATGGTGAACAATTGCCATTGGGTACTAAATCAGCCCAGTACCTTATACTCTAGTTGGGGTCAGCAAGCTGTGATCTTTATGCCAAATCCTACTTGCTGCCTGTTTTTGTAAATAAAGTTTTATTGGAATATAGGTGTGACCATTGCTTACAATTGTCTATGACTAATTTGACACTACAATGGCTAAAATATTTATAATCTGTTTTTTTACAGGAAAAATTTGCCAACTCCTACTCTAGATCATGGTTTATTTGTTCTTTTTAGGGAGAGATTGTTGTTCAAAGGCAGAGTTCTAGAGCATTGCTTCTCAAACTTTTGTGTGCATAGGAATCACTTGAGGATCTGTTAAAACTTTCTGTTTCAGGAAGTTTGGGATGAGGCTGAGATTCTCCATTTCTAACAAGCTGTGATGTGGATGGGGATCACACACTGAGTAGAAAGGTTTTGGAGAAAATGGTGTAGAACAAGATTAGCAGCACAGGGGGAGAAATTGAACTTGAGCTAGAGGCAAAAGACCTCAGCTTCTGAGACTTGAAGGTGGTAAGGATGGTGGTTGAGGTACCAGCTTTCTAGGTTAGGGAGGGCAGAATGGCTTCTGTTTTCATGGAGAAATTAGAAGAAAGGTTCTTTGCTCAGGAGTAAGTTCAGAGTTGAGCAAGAGCTTAACTAGAGTAATGAAGATTTGAAGAGGCTGTTGAAAGGCATAGGAGAGTGAAAAAAAAAGATTGTTCAACAGCATTGAGGACCCAACACAAGAGGAAATTATGAACTTGAAGACCTATCAATCCACATGGCTGTGTGATTTTTTCCCCCCACCAGCCTTTATTGGCTCCCTTTCAGAAAAGAGAATGTGGATTGTAGATCAGGGGTTAAAGTTTTGCCAGGCATGTGTGACAAAGGGAGAGGGATGCCTGGAACGTGTGGTTATTGGTGGGGCAATGGTCCAAGTGATTAGCCATTCATCTAGCAGAGTAGGGGTTTAAGTAGACCATAGAGATAGACAAGAAGTTGTGAGAGGGTTCAGTGATCAAGGAACCGAAGTCTGTATGTCTCAGCACCAGGTAGAGTTAGATTGAGAACCAGAATGGTCAAAGAGAAGAATATTAGAATTATATATTTTCCTCGTCAGGTAGATCTGGGTGATAAGTTTAGGATGGAACCGGGGAAGATGAGGAACTATCAAGATGGGTCAGTCAGACAGTACATTCACTGAAAGAGGTCATAAGACCTCTGTAAGAGGAGTGAAGAGACAGTTGTCAAAGTTTCCATTGAAGATTGGGGTGAGACCAGAGGTAGATGACAGTAGTAGAGAAGCATGGAGGAACGGTCAGCCAGATAATGTGGATGTCAAGAGGACGAATGGCAGGACCTTCTGCCTACTCCTGCCTGCTCCTGTCATCCTTGGGGCCATGTGTGTTTAAACTTCATCAGATATGGGGGCCCAGTCACAGGAGGACAATAATACTATCAACAGTGCCTTCCAGGAGAACAAAGATTTGATGATTTTCACTTTTCAATTTGCTTTCAAAGTCCATTGAGGACACAATGGTTTTTCATACCTAAGACCGGGCATTGGATACTGTGATTTCACTGCATTTTTACCACCTTTTTATCACTTCTCTCATTCTGCTGTCTCTCACTACATAATATGCAGTGTGTTATTTTCTACCTCGCAGAAGCTGGCAGCTGAAAATCCATATGGTCATAATGTTTGACTTATTATTTTAAAAAATCTTCAAAGATTTTCTGCATAGAAGACCTCTGAGGTTGCTTCTCAGATACAAGAGCTCCCCGTAAAAAACATTAGGGCTCTAATTAGTCATGAAAAGTCAAGGTTTCTGTTCCTTTTTGCATTCTCAGCCTCTCGTCTCCTCCTCTTTGAAGAGGAGGGAATAGGTACCCCAGGCTCTCTGGTTAAATTCAGTTTCTGCTGCCTTCAGTCACATGATTCTGCCAGTTCCTGGGAAATATGTGGGCGGGGATATGGGGACAATCTCTAGGTGATTCCTCTTCCACGATCATGTGTTTCTCTGTGGTACGTTTCACACAACCTTTCAATGTTTCTTTCAGACAAAGGGCCAGTGACCAGTGTTCTCCCATCTCAGGTAAACAACTCTCCAGTTATAAACCACCTTCTTTTAGGAAAGAAGATGAAAATGTCCAACAGAGCTGCCAAGAATGCTGTCATCCACATCCCTGGTCACACAGGAGGCAAAATATCTCCTATCCCTTATGAAGACCTTAAGACAAAGCTCAATTCTCCATGGCGAACTCACATCCGAGTCCACAAAAAGAACATGACCAGGACCAAGAGTCAGCTGGGCTGTGGGGACACCATTGGGCTGATAGAAGAGCAGAATGAGGGCTGCAAGACTAACAACCTGGGGGCAGCAGAGGCATTTTCTTCCAGCTGTGCAGCGACAGCTCGAAGAGAAGGCAGCAGCTCTGAAAGCAGTATGGGGAGGACAATCGAAGGGCAGTCTCCGGAGCCAGAGTTTGGGGATGCCGATGTGTCTGCGGTCCAGGTAAAGTTAGAAAGCTTGGAACTGAACCAAAGGGATGCTGCTGCTGAAACTGTGCCCAAGGTGCATCTGCCCTGTCAGCGATACTTCCCAGAGCTGCCTGATGCACCTGGAGAAAACAAAGCCACCAGCAAACCTCCTCAAAGCAGCCACCCGAAAACTCCCATCTTTAGCCCCTTTCCCAGTGTCAAGCCACTGCGGAAGTCAGCCACTGCCAGGAATTTGGGGTTATATGGTCCTACAGAAAGAACCCCAACCGTGCACTTTCCTCACATGAGCAGGAGCTTCAGCAAATCTGGCGGTGGAAACAGCAGCACTAAGAAACGGTGATATCTCCCAGCACCTGTGTATCTAGATTCACTTTTTCATGATGGTGTAAGAGTTCCAGCTGAATGGCTCCAAAAGCGTTTCAGTTGTCCAGTGAGAATGGATAGATAGGTTCAGAGATGAGCCACACTCCATAAAAACTGGAACTGGAATTTTTATAATGAGATCTGTATTAGAAATGTTTTCCCAGCCACTGATAACTGATACAGTGGATTCTTGTGGCAAAATAAATATTGAGGTTTTAAAGTGTGAAATTTTTCCAGTTTTTCATTGTGCTGTTTAGAAAAGACTCTGTATCTAGACTGTTAACCCTGCTTTCTTCCTCCTGTTTTGAGAGCCTTCAGGGTCCCTGTGACAACCCCAACCCACCCTGCAAACCTTCCAGTCCTCTGGGTGTTATTAATACTCAAGCATGCACAACACTAGCTTGCTCGAACAGAAACTGTAAAAAGAAAGTTTCTTTGTTGCAAAAAGCTTCCCAATTTCCTTATTCGTGCCCTTTTAGGGGACTGTTTCTGTGTGTGAATTTTCCTTCAGTGGTTTCTATCAGCCAGTCTCAAAATTGTTTTTCATTCTTATGCTAAAGTGCAAGAGAAAAATCTAGATAGCCTTTTCTTCACTTTCTATTCCTACCTGCAAAATGAAGAAAATCTTTATTTGTTGAAATTTAGGCTGATCACCAACTCGAAGATCTTATGCAGAGAACACAAATAGGGCAGAGAACATAAATGAGACATGCGTTCAGCAACTGCTATGAACAGCTTGCTAGTTCCACTAAGCTTTCCTCAAGGTTCATTTTCTCCTTTTAAGGAGTGTTTTGGTCCTCAGTGGTGGGACGGCTTGATGGGCTCTATGTGCAGCTTGTCCTGTGTCCTCTGCTATGCAGCGCATCTACCTACCAGCTCTCCAGGGCAGATGCAGCGAGGCCTCTGCTCAAAACCAGAACATAGCACCTGCAACTCTGTTACTTGAATTTTGTGCTTTTTTTGATCGGAGTACTTTGTTACTTGAACACTGCCTTTCTCTGGAGAAGGCCCCAGGGCTTTTTAGCTCTCTCACCCACTCCTCACCCCATCCCAGCAGGTCAGAGACAGACCTGTTATCTCCACTATGCAGAGAGGTGAAGCAGCACTTCAGATATTCAAGGTAAATGCTGCCAGTACTTAGCCACGGTTCCTCCAGTGCAATAGGCAGGTTTAATGCTCTTTGTATACAGATGCTTTGGCTACATAGGTTCTAGAAAACAAGACTGAGAAGCCATTCACTGCACTCCCTCCTGGCTCAAAGGACCTTTGTCTAGATCTTAGAGTCCTGTGCTGGTGTTTCATAAAACCAGCTCTAGCCTTTTTACCCGAAAGGTAGTTCTTTTTTAAAATGCTGCATGCAGCTGTCATTCGGCTAAACAAAATGCTTACTCTTCTATTCCCTTCTCCCACCATCATGAGAAGAATAGACTCAGCATCTTTATCGTCATCTCTGGAAGACCTTGGCTGTGCTTGCAGGCATATTGTTGATGCAGTCAATATTTGAGCTAATTGGATTGCTAATTCTGAAACCAAAGCTATAGTTTTAGACAAGGCTTTTACTATGAGAGGTATTAATTTTTATAATAAGATAATGTGGTCGTGTGGGCTTTTTGGAATAGAAAACACAAGAATGACATATACAATGAGAAAAGCCATTTTATCGTTTCGTGGTATTTTTACACCCAAGGAACTGAAGATGGAAAACATGACTAATAAGATATTGCAGTTTTGGTCTTGAATTGAAGTGAGCATGTAGCTTCTTACAAAGCAGCCACACTCACAGTCCTTGTCTTGGGAAGAGTGTAGGTGGAGAGTTGGGCTTACTTTGCATATCACCCTGGGGACTGAGACCCACTGCGTTTCCTAAAGTTAAGCAAATGACACGATTTTCTTCCATCTGCTAAACTTTACAGATGAGAATGAATTCCACCTCATATTCCTTTCTCCTCCCCCGACTCAAATGAGTCAGAATAGTGTTGTTCCCCTTGAGGGATGTTTGACTTGAATAGAGAATTGTTCTTCCCTTTCTTGAGTCAGCTCACAGCTCCCCGAAGGTCTGAGTCCAGGGAGGTGGGTAAAGGGGCGGAAGCCACAGACTGCAGACCTTAGGATTGTGCCATTGCTGTCAGTCAACTGTCTCAGCGATGGCAGCACTCACCATACTCATTTCCCGCTGCTGGTCTTCCTAAGAAAGGGATGGATGAAATGGCACAGGGTTTGGGATGAGTATTTGTTGAATGAATGATTGAATAACTGAAAGGATAATAATCTCTTGTGGTAAAAATGACCTTGTCAGGGTTTAAAAAACCAACAGATTCGTGTTAAAGCACTCTCTGTACCAATAACGTGCATGCATTGTACCATGTAATCACTTTCAATTATGAATCGGTCCGTTTATAAGCCTTGCCTACTTTAGGAAATAAATCTGCAGTAGCCTCTACAACACAGCATGTACAAAGACCAATGTGAACTCGTTATCTTCCCTATGTATTGGACACTGCCTGCAAACACCAGAAGTACTTACCAAGTAGCGGTTTGTTTTTAGCTGTCCGTACCCTGTCAGTGTTTATATCAGGCGTGGACCCCTTCCGATGCCTCTACACCTCAGTCCTCTTGCAGAAGCCTCCAGATGATCTAAACCTAGTTTGTAATGTTGACCTACGGGCTATACCTGTTGGAATATTGTATTCCTTTTTCTTTTTTTTTTTTTTGGTCTCCCTTGTTCTGAAGAACTGTATTGATTACAAAGATACGCATAAAGATTCTTATCGTTGTAGCTGTTGTGCCGTTTTCTGTCCGAGCGCGAACATAGAACACTATCGTGAGATTTCCCTTTTCCTTCTCTTTTCTCTTCGACTTTCCCCTGCCTTAGTCATATGAACCAGAGAAACAGACCAGTGAGCCCCATCTCCCCTTATCTAATCACTGGGTTGGGTGGTGGCCGAGGACCAGCCGAGAACTTGCCAGATTTAGTGGGTTCCTGGATATGAGTAAGTGAAGAGATTACGTACGAATGTGTATAGGTGTGTTTTTAAAATTGACCTTTAGACTTTCCTTTGTTTTCATAAAATAGAACAATAAGAATGCAACTTAGAAAGCTAGTCTATGGATAATAGATGAATAGAGCTGTGATCAAGGGGACAGCTGCGGCTGTCCTAAAGTCTCCTTTTACTCATTCTGAGCCACTTTCTTTGCGGCCTACAGCCATCACCTGAGGAAGCATTTTAAATTTATATGTTTCCTAATTAGAAAGGTGACACATGTTTCAAGAGAATTTGGAAAACAGAAAGAGCACAAGGAATTATCCATACATATTCTGGTACAGGTCTTTCCAATATGTTTGTATGTGTGTACTGGTGTGTATACACACTATTATCTAAGAAAAGGTATATTGAGCATACTAGTTTAAGCTGTCCTTCCAGAGAATGCTTTTATACAGCATCATTTTCAGTGACTAATATTCCATCATGTGTTCATGCCAGAATTCACATAACCAGTACTTGTTACATTGGTTGTTTAGATTGTAGATCGTACTGGTGCAAGCAGGCATCCTAACACTTGCATCTTTGTGCACAGCCTTAAGTATTGTCTTCGAGCATGTTCACAGAGGTGGAGTTGCAGGGTCAGAAAGTATGTGAATATTTAAGACTTACATATATTGCCAAATTGTCATCCTTAACTTATTATACAAGCAATGAATGAGAATGCTTGTTTCTCTACACCTCTGGAAGAGGCAGCAAGTTTCTTTTCTATTTTTCCCCTAAGACTGTCGGTGTTGATATAAGCAGTGATAATGGGCATTCATATTTTACTCCTGACTTTTAGGGGAACCATGAAGTAAGATGTTTGCTGAGATTTCTGGTAGGTGTCTTTTAAGGAAATTACCTTTCATTTATGGCTCGCTAAGAGTTGTTTGTTTTTTTATCATCGACAAGTATTGAACTTTATCAAATGATCTCTAGTTGCATCCTTTGAGAAGGAAGTAGTGCTGCTTGAGACTTGGTAGCCTGAACTTGAGAAAATTAATCATTACCAGGTTTCCTCAAAGAATATTGTATATTTTAGCATTGGAAACGATAGCAGTAAGTTTTATGTGCAAATTTTCATTGCAGTATTAAATTTACTAGTCAAAACTTGGAAACAATGTAAACATCTGAGAATAGGGGAAATGGTTAGGTAAATTATACTTCGTTCGTGGGATGGAACTGTAATGGCCCATGAGTGTTTGGTCCATTGAAATGGCAGTTTCTATTGTCTACCTGAGGCAGTTCAGATTAAAGTCGGCAAAGTCTGGAGTCAGTCACTGCATGTGGCTGTGGATGGGAGGCCCCCACTGGATGGTAGCTAAAAGCAGAACCATGCAATAGGGTTGTCCCACAGTGGCAGCCTGTGTTCTATCAAGTGGGGACTAAAAGGAGACCTGTAGGCTTTTGGGGTTGGATCAACTCCCATAAGGGTCCCTGCCAGCCACCTAAAGCTATGTCTACTTTCCTGGTGCTCACCTCTGGTCAAACCCACTGGCCTCTTGCAAAGTCCTGCTCATCTCATTCTCTTCATTCCTTCCAGCACAGGAAAATCTCATCTGGTTGCTCTACCCTGCACCCCACGGGCTTCAAGAGTCTTTTTAAAGTTAAAAAACCAGAAATTTGACTGTTTCTTAATATTTGCATTTTTGCTATAACGATTCTAGTTTTACTTGGCCAATGCTGATCCTTGGGAAGGCGGTGGATCAGTTTCCTTAAAGGGCAACTGCTCTCTGGGTGGGAACTAGCTGATACCTCAAACCAAGTATCTCCCCACCCCTGGAGAGTCAAGGAATCTGTATTAAAACAAAAACAGCTTAAAGCAACAACAAAACAACCTCCCTTAGAAATTTTGACGTTGAACTAGATTTGGTAACTCCTGGTCAACCTAACTATTTTAATGGAATCTTAACTAGTCCCCCTACTCCACCTCACCTGTCTCTGTTGCTGTGGCTACACGCTGCTGCCAGAGAGATTCTTCTAAAATGAAAAAAGGATCAAACCATTCCTCTGGTCAAAATCCTTCAACTATTCCCCATTTTCTGGCGGAGAAAAGCTAAAATCTTTATCTTAGCTTGATCTGGCTCAGGGTTATTTTTCTAGCTTACTTTCCCACCATCTTTCCCATTCCTCGCCTTCTGTGATTTATCATCGTTGGCACAATAACACCCATCATTTGTTGAGATCCTATGTCCTAGGGACTGT